AATCACACTTGATACTTTGAGTAGCGTCAAAGTCCCGAGTGAGTGTGGTAACCACGGCTCCGTTGGTAAGTCAGCTACGCGCTAGGTGGTTCCCTTCTTGCAGGTGGAGGTGGCACAAGTCAGCAGGGCGTGCGGCTTGGTAAGGAGTGGTGGGCGCTCTCCGGGTAGCGTTTAGTCACAGTGTCAGTCCATGCCGGGTAGATCTTTACTGGTTCTTGATGCTGGGTCTTTGAGTCCCGGGTGGAGGTATGTATGTGGTCAGAACCGGATATCTCCAGGTCCCTTAGCAGCCTTAGTATGCAGTGCGTCGGTGTGTGGTGCGGTGGATAAGGCCTCTCGCCTCCGCTTGTCGTGGGGCTTTCACCCCTGTGCTGTCTCCCTCAGGATCATGGCTGTGGGATGTTGTTGCTGATCTTTCCAGCCACTGGTAGTCCTGGCAGCTTGCCACTGCGGAGTGTGGGACAGTGTTGACGACAGGGATTTCCCCGATGCTGCCCGCTGCCATTTTAGGTGAGCGGAGTGCTGATGCCTCCTCCTCCTGGCTGTGCCCGTATGCAGGTGTTCGGGCTTGTGTGGGCGCCATGGTAGACCGTGGTGACCCCCAACGGTCCGGGGGGGAGGGGGAAGGTTCAGTGTCTGCAGGACGTCTGCAGGACGCATCAACTGCTAGGCCGCAAGTCGGACCTGCCTCGGCTCGTGCCTCCGGAGAGCTTGTAGTGCCTCTGTCCCGTTCTCATTGTTGGTTCTGTGATGTGGGTGGGCATGGGACCCATTTAACTTGTCTGGGTCGGCGTACAGGGGGCCTAAAGTCGGCCGTTTGCTGGGAGCTCTGGGTGCATGCGACTTCTCCGCATGGCGGTCAAGCTCCGCCCCCTAATCTAGGGATTTTTAATAATGCAAAACCCTGAATTCATAATTTTTTTTATTTAAAAAGATAAATTTTACTTCTCACACAGCAGCTGTATTTTTTCCTTTTTTTTTTCCAATTTGACAATTTTTATTTTGTCATATATAAGAGGGTAGGGGTACAGAAAGTAAAGAGGGGAGGTGGAGGGGGGAAGGTTCCCATCAAAGTACAGTTGTACAGTAATGCTTTTCATTAAATAGGTCATTGACATTAACAATCATGGTATTGCACTTGAACGTTATTCCTTCATATCAAACAGGTCTTTGTGATGCAGAATTATATACCAAGGCCGTCTACTAACAGTTGGTCATGAAGTCCGTCAAGGGACATCTCTGCTGTCCTCTATTGTTATGCTAACTTGGTTCGGTTATCGTGTGGCGATCCCGTGCCGTAGCGCTTATACCTGTGTCCGGTTATGCCGTGTGAATGTGTAGCGTCTTCCCTCCTGCCTTAGTGTTTCCCCAACCTCTAGGCTGTTAAGAGCGGGTTTAGTGTCCCCCTGAGTGTTCCTGGGAACTTTGCACCCCTAAGTGTACCTCGTCTCTTATTCTGTTCCCTGCTTGGGAGCTGTATGGCCCGTTTCTCTCTTGGGGGGGAGTGGAAGGTCGGCTTGTTCATTAGTCTGTGTCCAACTGTGCCTGTGTTGACGGGAGTGGTCTTGCCCCTGTTGTCTACCTGTCGGAGAGGAATTCTGGAGGGGGAGGGGGTAACTGGGATAACAAGTTAACTCGCGTGTCTTCATTGGTTTGGTTTATGTTGTTTGTTCGGATCTATTTTGTTCTGTTCGTTGGCCCCTCGTTAGTTGCTAGGGTCTCTGCCTGCTGTGTACGTGGCCCATAGTGCTTTCGCTGTGGCGTTTCCCTTACCCATTTTTGTTTGGCTCCACATTATTCCTTCATATTCTAGTGTTGTCGTAACCATTGTTACTACCTCTGCTGGGGAGGGGATTTTTGGGGTTTTCCATTGTTTTGCTAGCGAGGTGGAGGCTGCCGTTAATATTAGGAATATTAGTTTGGTGATGCATTGTGGCGTGCCTTTAGGTAGAAGTTGGAGTAGGAATGTTTCTGCATTGTGGTCTAGTATGCACCCTGTGGCCCCTTGAATTAGTTCTGCTATTTGTTTCCAGTATGGCTGGACTAGAGCGCATGTCCACCAGATGTGGAGCATAGTCCCTTCCTGTGTCCTGCATCTCCAGCAACTGTCACTTATGTCTGGGTATATTTTCTTGAGTCGTGAAGGCACCATGTACCATCTGTATATTAATTTGCGCGAGGTCTCAATGTGAGAAGCACAGGTTGTGAGTCCCTTGTGGTTTGTGTGAATGCATTGCCAGTCGTCTTGTGTGAGTGACCTACCTATGTCCCTATGCCATTCGGTCTGGTATCTCCACTCTGTCTCGGTTTCACTCTCAGTGATTGACTTATAGCACACAGACAGTGTCTTTTTAGTTGGGATTTGGTGTATACACATCTTTTCGAATGGAGTTAGTGTGGTGGGGTGTGCTGGTAGGGGGCCTTGTCTTGTGGCTTTGCCTATTAGTGCTTTCATCTGCCAATATGAGAACGTGAGCTGTGGTGGTATGTTGTATGTAGCTTGTATATCTGGCAACTGGCGTAGTCCTTGCGGGGAGCTTATCTGGTGCAAGTGTGTGATACTGGAGGCCTTCCATGTTCTGTAAGGGAATGTGCCATTGCAGAGATTTATTGAGTGTAGTGGCGTTGCCATGGACCATGGTTCTGCGGAACATAGTTTGGACCTTTGACTGTCCCATATGCGGTACAGAAGTTTAGTGGTGGGTAGGGCGTTTGGCGGTGTGCGGCGCAGTTGTTTGGGTATCCACAGGGCCGCAGGGAGATCCGCGACCCCGCTGCAGCTAGCCTCTATCGCTATCCATTGGGGGGTGTATGTAGTGGAATGCATGGCGAGGATGTTGGCCGTTTGTGCAGCATGGTGGTACGCCTTAAGGTTCGGGAGACCCAGGCCTCCTTTGTCTATTGGCTTCATGAGCAACGTTCTTGGGACCCTGGGGTGTCTTCCTCCCCAGCTGAATTTAATCAGGCTAGATTGGAGTCTGTGTAGGAATGACTGTGGTAAGGGTATTTGTAGGGAGCGGAGCAAGTAGAGGATTTTCGGCAAGATTGTCATTTTGATGGCCGCTATTCTGCCTAGCCAGGAAAGAAACTTGTTTTGCCATGAGTGCAGTATGTGCTCCACTTATTTGTGTAGTTTAATGTAATTGGCTACAAAGAGGTCGGTGTGTTTTTTGGTAAGTTTGATGCCTAAGAAAGTCAAGAAGTCATTCCTCCAGTCATAGTGGAAATTGAGTCGGTAAATCTCTTCGTCTGTCTTGGGGGTGTTTATGCACATGGCTTGGGTTTTAGTTAGATTTAACTGGTAGTACGATTGCCTACTGTAGTCTTGAATTTCTCTGTGGAGATTTGGGAGAGAGATTGCTGGGTTAGTTAGTGTGAGAAGGATATCATCCGCAAATAGGTTTAGTTTATATTCCTTGCCTCCTATGGAGATCCCATTAATATCGTGGTTGTTCCGGATCGCTATGGCTAGCGGTTCCAGGGCCAGCACGTAGAGTAGTGGAGAAAGAGGGCAGCCCTGCCGGGTGCCATTGGTGATTGGTAGGGGGGTGGAGCTAAACCCTGAATTCAGCACTGTCGCTGATGGGGTGCTATATAGTGCCTTCACCACGTTTAGAAAGGTAGGGGGGAAGCCATACCCTGTGAGCGCTTCTTGCAGGAATTGCCAGTTAAGCCGGTCAAACGCCTTTTCAGCGTCTAGGGATAGGAGTGTACTCTGTATTTTGGATCTATTGAGGTAGTGGAGGATGTTTAACACCTTCCTTGAGTTATCTGGGCCCTGTCTGCCGGACACAAATCCCACTTGGTCCGTTGATATCAGTTCGGGCAGGATTGTTTTGAGCCTTTCCGCGTATATTTTGGCGTATAATTTAGCATCCGCACTCAGCAGGGAAATGGGTCTAAAATTTGGGCATGTAGTGGGTGGTTTACCTGGTTTAGGTAGGGTGATAATGTGGGCTGCGAGGAATTCGGTCGGTAGGCTACCCTGTTTCGTAGCCAAGTTAAAGGCTTGTGTTATGTATGGACTCAGGATGTGTTTGAATGTGTTGTAGTAGAGGTTGGTGAGGCCGTCTGGGCCTGGAGCCTTTCCCTTCGGCATCTGGTCTATTAGTTGTAATACTTCTTGAGTTGTGATGGGGTTAGTTAGATGCGCTATTTGTTGTTCGTGGAGCTTGGGCATGTCAAACCTGCGCAAATATTCTGTGATCGATTTTTGAGTGGGTTGGTGTACCTGGGGGTTATCTTTCAGGTTATAGAGGGAACTGTAGTAAGACGCAAACTCATTGCAGATTTGTATGGGTTGGGTCAATTTTTGGCCTTGTGGTGAAAGCAGGTAAGGTATTTTTGTTTGGGCCTGTTTATCTCTAAGTCTCTGGGCCAGGGCTTTGCTTGCCTGATTACCTAGGACAAATGTGTTGGCTTTCAGTTTTTTTAGTGCATAACTCGCTTTTTGGAAGTTTGCTACATTAATCTGGTTTTGCAAGTCCTTTATCTGGTTTTGCGTGTTCGCGGAGGGGGTGAGTATGTTATCTCTGTGAAGGTCTTGCAGTTTTTTGAGATTTTGGGTATATGTGAAGTTCTGCTGTTTTTTGAGGTGAGAGGCTCGTTTGATGAGAATACCTCTGATGACCGGTTTGTGGGCCATCCATAGTGTGAGGGCATTTATATCCTGTGTATCGTTAGATTGGAAGTACGTGTGTAGGTCCTGTTCCAGCGTTTGAACAAATTGGGGGTCGTCAAGGAGATGTTCATTTAACCTCCATGGGCCTCTGTTCTTATAGTTGTAGTGGTCTGCTAAGTGTAGTGTGACTGGGTTGTGGTCCGACCAGGGGGTTGTTCCTATCATGCAGTCTATCACTCTATTCAGGTGTGCACTCTGAAGTAAAAACCCATCTATTCTTGAGTATGTGTTGTGTACCTGGGAATAATATGTATACTCCTTTCCTTGCGGATGGAGCGTGCGCCATGCGTCGTATAGCCCATATGTGTTTAGGAGTTTGGTTAAGGCTTTGCACTGTCTGTGCAGTGTTTTTGCCCTACTGGTTGTGTGTTTTGCTGAGGAGTCTAGTGTGGGGTCTTGGAACTGATTGTAGTCCCCACAGATGATCGTGGTACCTGTTTGCAGTTGAGTTGTGAGTTTTAGTAGGTTACTGAAGTATGTCCCCTGGTTTACGTTTGGTAGGTATGTATTGACTATGGTATAGGTGGAACTGTTGATAGTTCAGATCAGTATAATGTACCTGCCTAGCGGGTCCTTCTTCACCATAATTTCTTCAAAGGCTAAGTGACGGCTGAGGAGGATAGAGACTCCCTTCCGTTTTGTGCGTGCGGTGGCATGGTATTGATGGGGGTACATTGTCTTCCCTAGAGTGGGAGTTGCATCTGCAGAAAAGTGGGTCTCTTGTAGACATATCACATCGGCTTGGTTACCCCTAAGTTCTTTAAGGAGTATGTGCCTTTTTTGTGGGGTATTTAACCCTCTGACATTATGGGTGTATATTTTCATACTCTTTGTGTTTTACCTATATAGCTTGGATCGTGGCCTCGTACGGAGTTTTGTAGGTTTGATTGTCCGTGTGTGTGATGGTTGGCGCCTTGTGCGTGAGAGTGGTGGCAGGTCTTCTGAGGAATCGAGTATAGCTCTGGGTCTTAGGACCTTGATTCGGTTGGGGGTGCCACATACTATTGGGGTGCCGGTGATCGGGCGTTGCCCTGTGGTATTGGTGTGGTGCAATGGTACAATCTGGTTGAAGACATACAGCAAGTAAACAAATTTTAAACATTTTAAACCTTAAACTATAGTTGAACACCACTATTGAGGTGTTCAGAATTTCCTGCCGAAGGTCGAGAGAAAGACCTTCTTGAGTTGGGGGTAGGTGGTCCGGTTTAACCATATGTGGTCTAGAGTCGGGATCTAGTCATTCGACTGGGCTCTCTGCTAGTAAGCACTATAGTCGCGGATTCACTCTCGTATTTATGGGTTCCTTTGGAACTCGGGTGGGGGGGGTCGCTGCTCAAGTTTTGGTCAATTTTTTTTTTTATTTTTTCTTCTGTTTTGTCTTGTTAGTATCAGTCGGCTATTGTATGGTTCGCCCCACTGATTCTTTGGACCCGTCAGCGTCCAAGAGGGGGGAGGAGGGGGGGGAGAGGGAAGGCTATAACGGTCTGTGGGTTGCTTCAGGGGGTGCTTCACCTACTGTCGGTGCCCCTTGAGCATAGGTTTTGTGGGGCGTCTCCCGTCCCCGGGTTTGCTATTTGCCCCTCTGTTGTCCCCTTCTATCGTCTCCTCACCCCGCCCTCCCCACACCCCAAACCTTTGTCATCAGTCGACAATTAGCGAATGTCTCTGGTGCTTCAATGTTCGGTGCGCGGGGTGGTCCGCCTCGCTCTGACTGCTCGCCATTCCCCTTGTAGTTTACTGCTTCGAGGTTGACCCGCGCCCTGGATGTTGTTCACTGTGATGCCCCACGACTGGAGAAGGTCGATACCCTCTGCGGTGGATGTTATCACATGGGCTTTACTGTCCTTGGTAATAAGCAGCTTTACCGGGTATCCCCAGCGGTACTGGACGTTGCGCTGGCGGAGTGTCTCTGTGATGTTTCGGTACGTCCGGCGTCTTCTTAGTGTTTCTGCCGACAGGTCTTTATATATGCTGATATCTTTAAACTTGTCTGGGACGTTTCTGTTTGTGCGGTGGTTTTTCAATATCTGCTCTTTTATGTGAAAATAGTGTACTCTCATGAGGGCGTCTCGTGGAGTGGAGGGAGGTAAGTGCGCAGGCTTTGCTACCCTGTGTATCCTATCTAGGATCAGCATATCTGCCGGTATGTCAGGCATCAGGGAGTGAAAGAATTCTGTAGCGTAGGCTGTTAGGTCCTGCTGGTGTACTGCCTCAGGTATGCCCCTCAGCCTTAAATTGTTGCGGCGGGAGCGGTCCTCCATATCCATGATTTTATTTTCAAAGCGCTCCAATCTGCTTTCTATGTCCTCCATTTTGTCTGTCATAGAATCATGTGCTGTGGCAAATTCCTCCATTTTGCCCTCTAAGTGTGAGGTTCTGCTGCCTAGTTCCATTATGTCTCTTCTCAGCTCTGTTATTGCTGTGTGGAACGTGCTCTGCATTTTCCCTGCTAGATCATCTAGCATGTGTTGCAGGGTATGTTTGTTTATTCCTGTACCTGCTGCCTGGTCACTGTCAGATTCAGTTTCGGCGCCATCTTGGATCAACTGACCCACGGTTTTTGCTTGCGGCGTGCGGGCTGCAAAGAATGTTGCTTTGTCTTTGGGTTCCGCCGCTTTTTCCCCCCGGTGCTGGGACATCTCTGGGGTGAGTTTCTTCGATGTGTGTGCCTTTTTTTTGCCGCTTATTTCGCCATTATTTAGCCCTGTCGGCAGAGCTCCCGCAACCATACGGCTCGAGTTCCGGCCACGCCCTGTATTTTTTCCTTTTTAATCTTCTGTGGTGACTCATTTCATAAGGCCAAGTTTGTCACAGGATGACCTGCCTTCTCTCGAGATACGCTAGTAACACTGTATTTTTGTTGCTGAGGGACTCCGTAAATGCCCAGGGTTTTCCCCAAAACTGAGTCAATATGCAATAATATCATTTTCGCTACCCGCATTTCTTCAAAGGAATACTTTAAAGTATCATTACACTACAGCACACACACTGTTTTGATACAAAGCCAGCTCTATTGTGGCCTACTTATCAGTGCGAAGTTTAAAAAGTTCACACTTCATTGACTTACCAATGCATACCAACATTGTACATTATTTGTTGACTGAAAGCCTCAGCTGATAGTCCTCAGTCAGTAAATAATTTCCCAACTTGGTTTGATTTCTTAAAATAATTTGGAAGTATTCATTTGTGCTTTAGCATAGCTATGCTTATTTTTTAGGGCAATGGGTAGAACAAGCCTGATATGTGTCAAAACATTCACAAACCGTATAACACCGCTACAGTGTTTATTGTGATTACCAGGCAGTGTCCACCGAAAAAAGAATTCTTGTAAGATGTGTAGCATGATGCTTAAATGTTGTTCATGGATTTTGGGATATAGTAAACCTCTTCTAGTATGCTTTACTATGGCAACTATTTCCAGCACAGATCAGCACACAGACTTTACTTTTTTCATACATGAAACCAACCATGTATGGCAAGTGATGAATGCCTCTCAAAATTTAACAAGTGAAACGGTGAAAGGAGAGATGCAGAAAACCCTTCTATATGCTAATTATAGGTTGTCTCCTTTAGGAACAGTGTTGTGTAATTTACCATCGACACACAAAGGAAGCCGTGAATGTCCCCTGAAATGCCTGTACTTTTATAGGTTTGTTGTTAAGTTTGGGTGATGTGGCACAGACTCCCCCGGCTACAATTTTTTTTTTTTTTTTAATTTCTTTTCAAAATGAATGAATGGGGAGAGGGGGGAATGAGGGGGGTGATACTTCTCACTAAATTAAGAAGGTATTGCCTCTTGATCTGTTAATCTTTCTACACCCTGCAGAACCTACTATGTGTGATTAACCCCTTAAGGACACATGACATGCGTGACATGTCATGATTCCCTTTTATTTCAAAAGTTTGATCCTTAAGGGGTTAAAGTTGAATTTACGGAGCAGGACATGATCTGTACACCAAAATTGCTTCATTAAGCGAAGGTTGCTTTGGTGACTATAGTATCCCTTTAACTCTGCCATGTAGTCCACATATAAATATATGTGTATATATAAATACTTCAGGGAAGCACATCTCCCAACTGCCGTAGGTCTAGTGTCATTATTTTGGATTTGGGATCCATGCCTGGCTGTTCTTGATTATTGCTCAACATTAGAGAATTTATCTGAATGTATTTTAGCCAATGAAGATCTAGAGTGCTCAGAGCCTAATAATGTTCTTTTCAATTCTATCCATCCGCTTTTCTATATATAGTTGTCTTCGAATGTTTAGAGGTGTTGATAAGTACCAACAAATTACATCCATACATCTTCTTGGTAAAAATCACCAGTAAATGGATACATTTCAGTCTGTTCAATGAGTTGTCAGTGGATTTTCCACAGTACACGTGGCTTATTCTTGGAAAGCTTATACGGACCACTAAATATACAAGGATACAATCTTAATTTCTTGGGGAGAGAGGATAATTTCACCAAAACTATTATGGTGCCCTCTGACAGAGGTTAATATATTACCTTAAAAACCAAAAAAGATTTGTAAAGATATTAAGGCCCTTACCCACTTTGTTTTAATGTAAATTTGTGAAAATGTGCAGTCGTCTGATCACTGTGTTAGGAGCTGCAAAAAACTTGTGACAATATACAAGCTGACATTTATTTATTATAGATTTTTTTAATTTTATTTTTATTGTTAAGCTACTTGAAAATTATTAGGAAAAAAAATCTGCATATTCCTTGAACCTTTTAGCACTACAATGAGTTGTAGTGGATATGGTGCCTAAAGTTACCCTTTAAATTGGCTACAAACTGAGAATTTGTTACCAGGCTGAGACCTGCAGTTGGGTTTATTTCTTGAAAATTCAATTATGGGGACCAACAGCTGGCTTGTGAACTTTTGGATAACACTATTGAAGCAATTTCTGAACTGAACTGTGATTTGCTTTTGACTCTGAAATGGCACCAACATAGTTAATAAAGTAGACAGATTTGAAACCTAGTTTTCTCGCTTTAAACAAATGTGCCATCTCCTGTGATTCTCATAATTTGATTGATCCTCAGAGAGGCTAATGAGATCTGTGAAAATAAATTTCCAATTTATTTTAAAGTAAAAACCATATACCTATTCTCTGTGCATCAGATTTAATTGCACATTTAACATAATTGACATGAATCTCATTAGTCCTATCATTTGTTTCTACATTTGTGTTTGATTTTTGGGGCTGCTGTAGTATTCCTTGTAAGCATTCTGTGTGTGGCCCAGCCAGCACTGAACACTTAAAGGGGCTATTTAGTATAACCAGCATTTGCTGTTTGTATTTAGTTATTTATTTTTGTTATGTAAACTGCAGTATGTGGTTATGAAGATTCCATTCTTAATATATTTATTACTCTGACATTTACAAAAAGTTGCAATGTGCGAAGTCACATTTTTCCTCTCTTGTTATTAAACAATTTGTCTTCTTCAGAGCATTGCTTGTACCATACCCATTACAGTGGTCTGTATTGTGTATGGTGCTTGTAGTCTTCCTTTAACTGTTTACGTTGCATGTAAATGTGGTGGTACTTGCATCTGCAAGCATATTTATTTTAGTTTTTTTGTTGGAGTATGTTCACAGGCAAATTCTGCTGCCCCGGGCCGTTTAAATGATCTGGATCCAAAACTGTTGCAACCATATGCAAGCAAAGCCTAGCCTTAAAATGTTGCCTTGTAATTTATTTAAATGGTTATTCCTAGCACCATGACCTCGTCAGTGTTTTGTAGTGGTCATGGTGTTTGTAGTCTGTAAGTGCAGCGGGGCTAACGTCCTTTGCTTTTGGGGGTATAACTCCATCTCCAGCAGTCTAATTAGCCAGCATGAACAAGAGTACCGAAAGGCTAATGTAAATCTGTGCAAATTTGGCGTCTGTCAGCACATGTAGCATGCTGGTTTTATGTGAACAATGGCGGCATGCACCCTCACTGCCTTGCTGTCCAAGTCCTCCCCTCAGTCCATTTCCTGAATGTCCTTCCCCCTGCAGTGAGCGGCAGGGATGTTCCTGGAGGAGGATCAGGCTGCAGGGAGTACCTGGCTTTGTTGTTAGATGTCCGTTAAAGGTTACTGTGACCAAAAACCAAAACTTAATTTTCTCTTTTTTGTTGTTGGAGTAATCCTTTAAGTGTGTATTTATGCACTTATTGTTCCAGGGCCCTCATTAAGTACAACAATATTGTATCATCGTATAGTAACACATTTTATTTGATGCAAGGGAAAAAAATATATAGACTCCTATAATAATAATAATAAAAAAATTTTTTCTTCTGTGCAAGTCATCACCGCAAGATCATGGTGGCTTAATCCATGAGTCAGGCTAGATCCACCATATGTTTGTGGAAGCAGGTTTTCTGACTTCCAACACTTTGCACATAATAATCACTTGTACATGCCAAGCAAATTAAGGAACTAATTACAAGATCTGTAAAGCTACACAACTAGCAGGGGTAAATATTGGCAGGGAAGGTATATTCCTGGAGGTCCTTGTGCACACCATGACTTGAAAACTAAATTGCATTACATCTGAAAGACCACTCTATGGCTTCCTTCATGTTCCTCAGACTGTTTTATATATAAAACCTTCCTACAATATTGACACTTGTGCTTCAAAGTCTATTTTGCTCTTACATTTACTCAGTATATTCTGCTTCTTAGAATTTTTTGGAATTGTATACATAAATTGGTAGTGTGGGCAGGTAGTGCTGCCCATAAAAATGTCCCAACTAAGCCACATGTTTTGTAAATGCAGTATGAAGGACTGTAGTGTGTTTGGTTAGCATTGAATTGGATTAAATTCGCACATTACAATGACCTAGTAAGAATCCTTTCACTTTTGAGCAGGGTTTAGCAAATGGTAGATGATCTGACATTTTAGAACTTTTGTTACGTTGATACTTTTCCAAAAATGACACAGCATCATGGAAGTTGTAGTTTTAGAACATCTGGGGATCTGCTGTTTGCCCACCTCTACTTTACAGTATTAACATAAAGCTTTCTTTTTAATATGATTCCTGTAAGCGTCTTTACATTTTTTTTGTTTTTTGTTTTTTTTGTTTAACTCTGATATTGCATTGGTTTTCCTTTGACTGCATTAGCAATTAGAAAGAATGATGTATATATCTTTTACAATATTTCAAATCTTCTAATTTTTTATTATGGGATAATTGACCACCTTTTCTACAGCTGTAATGCAGATTCAAAGTTTTCGTTTTAAACAATAGTTGATGTGAGTTTTAATTATGTGACTGCAGTCTTCCAAGCTTTTGTCAAACTTGAACTTCTAGTGAATCCGAATACTGTATGCTTGGAGTACACCTTCACTCTTTCAGTTGATATATTGGCTTAATGCTTGCTAAATAAAGACTCACTCGCAACACCACCACTATTACAGAAAGGGACTTGCCGAAAATGAGAATTAATTATGTCCTAAATAGTTAAATAAAAAGTGGTATGGATACGCTAATTTTGGAATTTTACATTGCCTTGTAGGACAGTGTAGGAGCAAAGTAATAGTTACATATCACAGAAAAAAATTACAATTTAAATAAAAAAATTTGTGTGTATGTATATTGGATAATTTACTTTATCTTTAGAATCCATGAGCTAACTGCAATGCATATTAAGATCTCTTGTGGAAGATGTTTTTATCTAGCTAGATTTATTTGAAAAATCTTCAATAAAAGAAAGTTTAGACATTGTAGCAAAGTAAGGTTAAATTAATAAGAAAATGCATAATTTTCTTTCATGTGGCTTTAGTTGTCAATTCAGCCATCTGTAATTCATGAAATGAGAACATGTGTAGAATTCATTGAAGTTGTGCTATCTGTTTATTTATCTCTAGGTATTGCTGTGGATCTCCGATATGTCATTCAGTTTCCGCCCAGATTGCTTCATTTGGAAAAGAATGAAAGAGTGCATTAGTGAGCCAAGAAGGCATTCTTTGGGCTGATTTCTAATTGTTTGTTCCAGTCCTCAAGGGCCCGAGAAGGCATGAGACACAACTAAAGAGTCTTGCTTTAATCTTAAGGAACATAACATTGCCAGGCAAAATGCCTATGGATAATGGCAGACACACTTTGCATTTAATTAGTACAATATCCTTATGCTGAAGACCAGAAAAGTAATATTTGTAATGAAAGACAGAAGTAACATGTTAAAGGACTAGACTTAATATTAACGACATGGAAAGATGCGTCTTCTCCTTGATTACAATCTGTACTAGTGATAGTGTACCTATTACACGAATGCCATCATTGGCACTCAGAACACTTTGCAGTGGTTTATCTGAGGTGAACTAGGTGTTTGCAAGGTAACCTTCAATCCTGTAAATCAGAGTGATCGTTATCTATTTTATGTGAGATAATTCATGTGCTGTAACATTTCAGAACTCTGGGAGATCAGGTGATCTGTGGCAGTCAGTGTTTAACTCGGCACTTTAGTTTTGTTACTATATTTTGGTTATTGAGAGCAGTCAATTAGCAGTCAAAAATGCAGAACCCCTTTGATAGAGCCATTTTAACTTCATTGAAACTAGAGTATAAGCAGAGCAGGCAATCAAGTTTGATAGGGGACCACCAACTGAGGTGTAACGATATAGGAGAGAGAGAGACTGTTATGAAGAATGTGAAGTGCGGACTACCACAGTAGTTGAATGAAGAAAACTTCCATGATGGGTGGACAGTTCTGTGTAGTTTTAAGAATTAGATTAGATTTGACATGGTCAGTCTTTTTATAAGAAATGGTCTCTATTGGATAGTTTAAAAGGACAATAGAGGGTGGTAGAATCAAGCAAATGAGTTGTTACAAATATGGAGGAAATATAGGTGACCGTTGCCTACAGAAGGGTTGGACAAACTTTGACACACCAGATGTTTTGGACAGCATCTCCCCCAATGCTTTGCCAGCGGTGTGGCTGTAAGAGAATTATGGAAGTGCTGCAGGCTGCTTACACCTGGCTTAGAGGATTGAGTTTTAAACAGACACTATATTTAGGAAATAACTTTTGCTTAATGAAGCAGGTGTGCATATGCTTCATGCAGTCTCCCTGCTAAGTTCTGTGTCATTTAGGAGTTAAATCCCTTTGTTTCTGCAGCCCTAGTCACACCTTTCCTGCATGTGACTTACACAGCCTTCCTAAACACTTCCTATAAAAAGTAATCTAATGTTTACACTTCCTTTATTGCAAATTCTGTTTAATTTAGAATTTCGTATCTCCTGCTCTGTAAATGGATTACTAGACCCAGCAAGAGCCTCATGTATGTAATTAAAGTCCAAATTACAGAGCAAGAGAAAAACACTTTTAAATTAAGTTACATGTGATTGGAAATGAAACCATGTTGTTTTCATGCAGGTTGTGTCAGTCACAGCCAAGGGAGGTGGTAATGCTTACCCTTGCGTAACTGATTCTGTGAAGAAAATGGGCACCAAATAAATTTCCTATTCAGCATTGAGTCACATAAAGATACACCTACGCTAGTTGATAGGAATGCCTGTGAAACCGACAAGGATGCTGTGTCACAGGTAGCACTGGAGAAATGTTCTTTATAGTGTTTTCTCGCAATAAAACAGAACTGTGAAATAAATAAATTTTCAGACTCAAGCATCTTTGAAAATAAAATGTTTCCTTGACTCTCTCTAACGCTCACATTTGTCCAGTTCATTTAGAACAGATTGAGAATATGAACAATTATTGGTTTTTGTTGGACAGGCTGCATAAATAGGCAGTTTAAAAAAAATCGAATCCTTTCAGATCAATTATTCTATGGTGAAAAGAAAAAAGTTGAGTGGCATTTACTTACATTGCATTCTAGAAGACATTGTAACATATTGACAAGTTAATGGCTTTTTGTCAGTTGGTATTGCCTGCTGCTGCTGTTCTCATTCTCATCCCCCTTGCTCAAAAAAAAAATATCAATAACGTTTTTTATTTTTTGTTAACATTTTTTGAAATTTTTGGTGAATTTCTGATATAATGAAAAGGTATCATAAAGCAAATTAGGGACTTCTTTGTGAATACATTTTAAAAGAAGTAGGAAAGGGTAGAGGCCCAGTTAGCTTATGCCTGCTGTATCTTGCTTTTTCTCATCCGCTTATCACTTTTGACCGACATCTTCTCATGCAATATGCGTTGCCAATGGAAGTTCTTCCTAGAACTGTGAGGGTATGTATACTAAACAGTGCACAGCCAACAGCTGCTGATTGTAATTAAAAACTGCCGACTAGTCAGCTACTTTGTAGTGTTTATTTTTAAATAACATTAAATTGACCCCATAATAAAATATTTGAAGGCAAAATTGTACAAACAATAGCATGTAGTCTTGAAACGTGCCATGAAATTTATACAAAAACTTCAGCTTCTATTGTAAAACAAGCATCTCTCATTGCATGAACAGATATGGTTCCAATTGATCTGTGTTGTCTGTCTCTCCGTATGTTCAAACTACAGCCATCGAGTGATTGCAGTGGTTGGTGTTAAAGACTTTTATTGTCATTTCCATTTACATGTGTTAAATGCATTTAGTTTTAATTTCACTTAGCTTAAGTATTTTGCACATTTATTATTTACACAATGTATTGGCTTCTTAGACAGTGGTCCTACCTTGAAATGTTTTTTTGTTTTTTTTTTTGGTTCTTGTTCTGGAAATGTGTTCGAAATAAACTCTTTTCTGTATCTAATATTGCCTAATCTTACCCTGAAAAAGCTGCTCTCTAGAATTTTCTTATCAATATTTCAAAGGTCCCCATTATCTTTGGCAATGTTATTGAACCTTAGAGTTTGATTCCAGAAGGCATGTCATGTAAGTTATTCAAACACACATGGTGTGTTTTCACTTATGCAAGACAAAAAGCTACCACATGTTCATAGGGGAAATTTTTTTTAACAATTTTATTTTAATTTCTCTTCCTTCCTTAGATAGAGAGTAAGTGTATCCTATGTAACTGTTGTATTGCGCTCTCCCAGCAGGTTGGCATATATTGAGTGAAATTGGCATAGAGCCGTGGTAGCCAACCTTTCTATACTGGATATTGTGGTGTATGTTTCCTAAAAAGCTAAGTAGCAAATGGTTACATTCTAATTAATCAATATAAGACATGATTATTTGCATTTATGAACTGCTGAGTAAAACTTGTAGCACATATTCTACAAATGTGTCATTTACCTTAAAGTTTTATTCCAAGTATCATAACCACTACAGTAGGGGTGCCTACGAGGTAGAACCACAGTTGTTGTAGGACTAGAACTCCCATAATGCTTTGCATGCCTTTTGAACAAAGTTGTAGTTTTAAAACTTCTGCAGAGCTGCCTTTTGGAAACCCCTGCACTCTACAGCCTTCTCAGCCATTGAATGGCACATTGTGCCAAAAAAAATTATTGGCACGGAGCTCTAGTTCTGGCCTGGCTGATGACCCCTCCAACCAGAACTAGACAAGAAGTTAAACTATGTATGCATCCCAGGGGCCTCCTGGCACCATAACAACTTCATTCAGATGTAGTTATTTTGGTGCCTGGAGTGTTTCTTTAAATCTGTCACAGAGAGAAATAAAAGTTTGCACATGCATCCTTCAGACTTTACCCTATTCTTTAATCCTGTTAAGCAGTCCCTTAAAGTGCTTCTATTGAGGCACACCCAGGGCTAGTGCAAGGATTTTTGCTGCCCTAGGCAAAACTAATGTTTGCCGCCCCCCACCCATATTATCTGCCAAGTTAACTTACGCCAGTGCTGTAGTGCCGCCGTGTTTACATTAAAAGGCCTGCAGGGACAGGCTATAGACCCCAGAACCACTACATTAAGCTGCAGTGGTTCTGGGGACTATAGTGTTTCTTTAACCCCCTAAGGACCAAACTTCTGGAATAAAAGGGAATCATGACATGTCACACATGGATGGATGTCACTCTCTTCTCCCCCCTCCCTTGTCACTCTCTTCTCCCCCCTCCCTTGTCACTCTCTTCTCCCCCCTCCCTTGTCACTCTCTTCTCCCCTCTCCCTTGTCACTCTCTTCTCCCCTCTCCCTTGTCACTCTCTTCTCTCCCCTCTCCCTTTTGTCACTTCTCTTTTCTCCCCCCTCCCTTTGTCCTCTCTTTCTCCCCCCTCCCTTTCTTTGTCCTCTTCTCTCTTTCTCTCCCTTGTCCTCTCTCTTTCTCCCCTCCCTTTTTGTCCCTTTTCTCCTCTCTCCCTTGTCCTCTCTTTCTCCCTCCTTGTCCTCTTTCTCCCTCCTTGTCTCTCTCTTCTCCCTCCCTTTTGTCCTCTCTTTCTTTCTCCCTCTCCCTTGTCCTCTCTTCTCCCCTCCCCTTTGTCCTCTCTATTCCTCTCCTGCTCCTGTCAATTTATTCTCCTCACTTATTTTCCCCGTCAATTTCTCTCTGTCAATTTATTTCTCCCCTCCTCCCCTACCTCGGTTGTAGCATGGCCGAGCTTTGTATGGTCCGCGGTTACAGGGAGCTTTTGTTTCCTGTACCCGGCCGGACTGATAGGAAGGTGCACACTCAGTGTGCACTACCTGTTAGTCCGGCCGGGTACAGGAGACAGATGCTCCCTGTACCCGCGGACCATACAGAGCTCGGCCACGCTACAGTGAGGGAGTGACAGGAGGAAGCGCTGAGCGCTTCCCTCCTGTCAGCCCCTCTCCTCAGGCTGCGCCTGGGAGGTGCGCCCTCATGGACGCACCAGCCTGGGCAAAGCTGCAGCCGCCTGAGGCTCTCTACAGAGCGCTCGGGCGGCTGCAGCATGAGGGGGGCCGGCGCTCCTGGCGGCGTCCCTTCCCAAGGGGCGCCCTAGGCGGCTGCCTAGTCTGCCTAACAGGTAGCGCCGGCCCTGGGCACACCTTTATCCTCCCTGGGTGATTTTTCATTACATAAATCAGCTCCTCTCCCACCACAATATGCTTTCACTGTCCACTTCACTCTCTCACTTTCCCACGTTATTCCTCACCTCCTGTAGTTTGTAACCTCATTCAAGCAGGGTCCTCAATAACTATCTCCTGCTGACATTTATTACAGTTTCATATTTGCAGTTACGTCCCAACATTAAAGGATCACTATAGTCTCAGGAAAACAAACTTGTTTTCCTGACACTATATAATGCTTAGGGTCCCCCCATCCTCAGGGCCCCCCTTCAGCTACTTATCTTTATCCAGCACTCCCTTGGCTCTGGTGACCTCTCCTCCCCCTCCGACGTCAGCTCCCGAGTGGAGCCGGATGCGCACGCGAAGCCAGAGCCGCGCACGCATTTAGGTGGTGGATAGATGTCTTATTTAAGATCCCAAGCTAAACCTTTTACTTTGCCAGAGGATCTGCTAACTGGATATTGGCTTATCATATACTAAAACATTTTTTAAAAATCCTATTGCTTTTCTGTAGACACAGTTTCTGACCAAAGCATGATCTTTTAACATGTATTTACTTTGAGAATAAAGATAACATGGCCATTTAACACTAATATCAGAAACTACTTGTTAATTTATGTTGTTTTAGGACAGCTAAAGATACTTTATGTTATTTCTCTGATTTGTTTATTTGTATTCAGAGTGCAGTGCTGAATAGTGTGGCGCATGCAGCAATGCTTACTCCCTGTGGGCTATATTAAATACCCAAAGACATTGTTTTTCTGGAATTATTGGCAGATGGAAAACATTACTCATTTGATGCTTTACATTGTTTGACCATATGAAATATTTCAGCATAAAATATATAAACAGATTAAAGTTAAGCATATTCTGTTTGCTTGTAAAAGTGTAAAGGGCCCACAAGGAGCTTTGGTTTGGCTGTAGCAGTGTTTGCATTCAAATCTAAGCGGATTATCATAAATTAAACGAGAGCATTGAAAAGGAGTAAAGTCTGTTTCCACTTCTTAAATAATGGACCATGTAGATTTATGTGGACCTACCATTTGAAATAGTTGTTGCTGTTTTGTTTCCTTCC